TCCATTTATAAAAGCGTTGTATATTAAAAAGTTTTTTTTATATTATTTATTTTCTACTTTTTAGTCCTGTCTGAATAAAATTTTGCAATAGATATTAAAATAATTCAACGATATTAATAGAAAGGTGCACACACATGCATTTACATATGTATGTACATACAAACGAGCACCAATTAATTTTATTTAAAGAAATGGCGTGTCGTCTATTTCCGGTGTAGCAAACGTAGTACATAGGGCGACATCTAGATGTCATCTACCTCGCCCTATTCACTATGCTTTTTTATAGGAGCTTTTCAAAGCTTTGCTTTATGGTGTCGGACACACAACATTGAAAGTTTCTGGAACACAACATTGAAAGTTTCTGGAACACAACATTGCAAGTTGATAAAAGCGTTGTAAAATCAGTTTAAATTGTGTTAATTTGCAATTTGTGAGTGATTCTTGAGTTGAAGACTGCGTAAAAACTAATACAATGAAGTGCTGTGTGTTAAATTGCGACAGCCGTCAAGATGCAAGAGACGTAGATGCAAGTGTAGCGCTGGGATGAATCGCTGCATTTTGTGTACATAGGGCACGGCAAAGCCGTTCCCCAAATGTGTCTCTATTATTATATTAACAGCATTTCCTCACAATGATTTTGTTTCTGCTCCACGCAGCCTCCATTAACAAGTTAACTAATAAATCCCGCAGAGATGCTGCTGCAGTTTTCTGCAGCAGCCTTAATTGCAAAGCAATGGAGTGCACTAAAACGTTTGCTGAAGCAGCCTCAATTGAAAATTAATGGAGTGCACTAAAATGTTCACTGTTCTCTAATATATTAGGTGAAAAATGATATATTTTCGCATTTAGCAAAATTAAAACACGTTTTTCGCTGTAAAGTGAACTGCTTTGGCAGTTTAAACTCGTTCTTCTTTTCGCTCTATTCTCTGTTTACTTGTGGTACACAAATGTCAACGCCCAGGACGGCGCAATCTTGTACTCTATCATTCTTGATCATGATTGGTAGTATGGAAACTAGCAGTGTTGCCAGAATTTTTGTATAGCGCATCCCCATATCGAGCCGCAGTTATCCCCAAAAAATCTCCATTTTTCTTCTAAATCCCCTTAAGTAAGAAATAAAAAAATATGTATTCTCATTTCTGTGACTTCGTTTTAATTACAGTTTTGAATACTTTTTTATTACAAATTTTCACAGTTGGATATGTGTACATATATATGAGATCATTTGTTTATTTACGTATAGCGAGTTCTTTTTTTATGGTTTTTGGAGACTATTTAACAACATACCTTCGGCCCAAGGTTCCTATTCCAATTGCTGTCTGTAAGTTCGTCAATTTTATTTTGTGCGCTTGCCACTTTGTAAAATTCTTTTTACACTAATGCTCGTGTGATACTACGTTTTTTTCCTGTATTTTTCATTTGAAATACAAACAAAAAAACTGACGAAAGTCAAATTACAAAAACTATTCGGCAATGTGTTAGAGAAAGACAAATTCTGTGTGAAGAACAGCTGAATTTTGACGTTTCATTACCGAAATTCAAATAAACGAAATTAAAATTGATGTAAAACAGTTTTGTAACAATAAAAATAAAATTAAAGTGGCAAGACAACTACGTATTCCATTTAATTGACAAAGTCCACGGTGCAGAATATATATGGAATCATATGCTACCATCATATAAGGACAAATATAAAAAGCAGCAGTTTTGGCTCGATTTGGTGGATGAAATGAACTCAACGTTCACAGCAAATGTACCATTTCAATGCGGTAAGTTTTTAGCAAGTTCATATGTAATAACTAAAATATATATTATATGTTTGTATAATACATATATGTATTTAAAGATGAAGTTAGGCACAAGTGGTGCAACATCAAGTCATATTTCAGTTCAGAGAAGCAGAGGATGGACAAGGCAAAGAGAAGCGGTGCCGGCGGAGACGAAAACGTACAGACCAGCTGGAAGTTCTATGAAGCTTTGAAATTCCTACAACATATGAATGAGCATACACCATCAGTGAATAATTTTAATAAGTGGAGTTTGCAGGTACGACTTTTATTGTGTGAAACCGGGCAAAGCGTCGATTCGCGTGCTACGTAAAATTTGCTTAATATTTTCATTCCCTTGTAGAACCTGGACCCTGATCCCAATCCATCGCGTAAGCTTGGGGAGCAACTGCAGCCTGCAGAATGTTTCGATCCAGGCTT